CCCGTATCAGTGGTAAATGTGTGCAAAGGGGATGTCTGAGCCTGGAAAATAAAGACTGGGGGCCTGATAAGGAGGTTTATCTTGGCCAGAGCACACAGCTGGGATCCATTCAGGGACAAGAAACTGGTTTTAGGAGGCTCGTGACCATAAAAAGATAATTTGAGGAATGGGATGTTCCCCAAATGACCCCCAGAGACCCTCAAAAGCCCCCTAGTCTGATGTAAATGAGCTCTGAGAAGTGATTTGAATGTGGAAATGATTCAGGGCAATATTTAGCAATGTGGGGTTTGGGAAAAGGGATGAATATGTACTAGTTCTGTGTTAGTTACATAGATATAAATGAATATGTGAGATAGCTGGGGGGGGCTGTTGCACTGAAATAAAGAATTCCTCTTTTTAATATTGAAATTACAGCGTTAGAGTTTTATTTTTCAGGGTTTCTGTGACACCAGGCCGATGCACAAACGTGCAGTGTCCAATATAAAAGCATTTTCATCACTGCTTGTTAATAACAAACCTGTTGTGCTGTACAAAGGTGGCAATTCCATCCCCTTGGAATCAACCCCTGATATTCAGGAAAAAAACAGGGAATCCCGGAATGGTTTGGGTTGGAAGGACCTTGAAGCCCACCCAGTTCCACCCCTGCCATGGGCAGGGACACCTCCCACTGTCCCAGGGTGCTCCAAGCCCTGCCCAACCCGGCCTTGGACACTTCCAGGGATGGAGCAGCCACAGCTTCCCTGGGAAATCTCTTCCAGTCCCTCCCCACCCTCACAGGGAGGGGTTTTTCCCATTCTAAACCTCCTCTCTTTCCATTGGTACCCACTCCCCTTGTCCTGTCACCCAGTTCCTGATGGACAGTTCCTCTCCAGCTTCCCTGGAGCCCCTTCAGACCCTGGAAGGTGCCCTGAGCTCTCCACACAACCTTCTCTTCTCCAGCCTGAACATTCCCAGCTCTCCCAGCCCGTCTCCATGGGGGAAGCTGAAGAAAGTCAACTTTTATTTGCCTTTGGAAAAGACAGCAACCAACCTGGACACACCTTCCCCAAGGTTTTGCTGGAGAGAGAGCTGGGATTGAGGCTGGGAGAATTGGGATTGTTCAGCCTGGAGAAGGGAAGGCTCTGGGGTGACCCGATTGTGGTCTTCCAGGACCTGAAGGAGCCTCCAGGAAAGATGGAGAGGGACCATTAACAAGAGTCTGGAGCGACAGGACAAGGGGGGGTGGGTTCAAATTGAAAGAGAGTAGGTTTGGATTAGATAGCAGGAAAAAATTTAGATATTAGGAAAAAATCTTTACTGGGAGGGTGGTGAAGCCCTGGAACAGGTTGCCCAGGGAGGTTGTGGATGCCCCAACCCTGGAAGTGTTCAAAGCCAGGTTGGATAAAAATCCTTGAGCAACCTGGGATAGTGGGATGTGTCCCTGCCCGTGGCAGGGGGCTGGATCATCATGGTCTTCAAGGTCTCCTCCCAGCCCAAACCATTCTATGATTCTGTGATTTTTTTTAATGAGTTTTGAGGGTTGATTTAAAGGGTATGAAATGACCTTGTTTGTAACAGTATGTGGGTGATTTGTTTTTAGCAAACAGGGATGGAAATGCCTTCATATCAGACACCCCACGCTTGTGAATCACCCCGGTGAGAAGAGGACACTGCCCATCTCCTCCCAAACTTTGGCTGGGTCAAAAGGAAGTTACAGGTTTAGGCTTCATTTTAGGAAAATGCTCTGCACTGGTGTGGCCTCACCTCCAGTTCTGGGGGCAGTTTTGGGCACCACAATATAAAAAATATATTAAGCTACTAGAGAGCATGCAAAGGAGGGCCACGGGGATGGTTTTTGTGGTTTTAAGCCCGGCTGGAGATTAAGCTCCACTCAGCAGCTCATTCAACCCCCTCTCTGCTCCTCCCTCCTCCCTGCTGGGATGGGGAATAAAAGTAAACCTTGTAGGTTGAGACCAAAAGAGTTTAGTTATCGAAAATAGAGTAAAATACAGTAATAATGGGAAATAATAATAATAATGATAATAAAAGGGGAAAGAAACTAATTGATGCACAATGCAATTGCTCACCACCCCCCGACTGATGTCAGACCCCCCTCCCAAACCCAGATCGGCCCCTCCCAGGTGACTCCCCCCAGTTTGTGGCCTGGGAATGGTGATCTATGGTGTGGAATATCCCTTTGGATAGTTCAGGTCACCTGTCCCAGCTCTGCTCCCTCCCAGCTCTGGCAGAGCAGGAGACAAAAAACAAGAGTCCTTGACTCGGGACAAACACGACTGAGCCAAACCCCAAACCATCCGTGTATTATCGACCCTGCTCTCATCCCAAATCCAAACCACAGCACTGGAACAGCTCCTGGGCAGGAATTAACTGGTTCCCAGCTGAAACCAGGACAGGATCCAGCCCTGAAGGGTCTGGAGGGGCACTTGGCTTGTTCGGCTGGAGGAGGCTGAGGGGAGACCTCGGGGGCTGCAGCTCCGACCTCTGCTCTGTGTGAGCAGGGACGGGACCCGAGGCAGCAGCTGGAGCTGCGGTTTAGGAGGTTTAGGAGCTGTGAGGAGGTTTAGGTTGGATCTCAGGGAAAGGTCCTTCCCCCAGAGGGTGGTTGGGCACCGAACAGGCCCCCCAGGGCAGTGGGCACAGCCCCAAAGCTGCCAGAGCTCCAGGGGCGTTGGGATAATGCCCTGAGGGACGGGGTGGGATTGTTGGGGTGTCTGCGCAGGGCCAGGGGTTGCACTCTGTGATCCTTGTGAGCCCCTCAGGATTCCCTAAACCAGACTGGTTTAGGTCGGAAGGGACCTCAAAACTCACCCAGTCCCACCCTCGTACCATGGGCAGGGACACCTTCTGCTATTCCAGGCTGCTCCAACCTGGCCTTGGACACCTCCAGGGATCCGGGGCAGCCACAGCTTCTCTGGGCAACCTGTTCCTTACACGTGACAAAAGCTTGTCCCAGCTTTCCAAAGCAAAGATCGAACGCTGTGTGCCCACAATTAGCAATTAGCTGCTGCCCCAAAAGTGACTCGAGCCCTTTTTCATCCTTTGCCTTTGGTGGTTTTACAGATTTAGGGGGTCGCTGCTGCCCCGGGACCCCCGGAGAGAAGAGGCAGCACCGGGAGCCCGTGGAACGGGCTGAGGGGGAACTCGGGGGTCTGGAGCCTCCTCACGAGGGCAGTGACAGGACCCAAGGGAGCAGCTGGAGCTCTGTCAGGGTTAGGGGGATGTTAGGAAAAGGTCCTTCCCCCAGAGGATGGTTGGCACTGACAGGCTCCCCAGGGCAGTGGGCACGGCCCCAAAGGCTGCCAGAGCTCCAGGGGCGTTGGGACAACGCCCTGAGGGCCGGGGTGGGATTGTTGGGGTGTCTGCGCAGGGCCGGGGGTTGGATTTGGATGATCCCCGTGGTTCCCTTCCCTCAGGACATTCCCCGATTCCTCACGGGCGGGAGCTGAGGGACCCCCCCCCCCCCCGCCCCTCCCGCGGGTTTGCGCACGGCCCCCCCGGAGCCCCGTGAGGGACAGGGCGGGAAAAGCGGCCCGGCCGCGCCTGAGGGACGAGGCGGGGACAGGCTGGAGGGAAGTCCGCTCGGCGCGCTTGAGGGTGAGGGCGGGGCGGTTCGCAGTGCCCGGTCGGGTGTCCTTGCCTTCAGCAGCCCCTGCTCCTCAGCAGCCGCTGCCCTCAGCACCGCGGCCCTCAGCAGCCGCTGCCCTCAGCAGCCCCTGCCCCTCAGCAGCCCCTGCCCTCCACTCCTTGCCTTCACAAGCCCCTGCCCCTCCACTCTACCTCAGCAGCCCTTGCCCTCAGCACTCCCTCAGCCGCTCAGCACGCCCTGCCCTCAGCTCCTTGCCCTCAGCAGCCCCTGCCCTCAGCAGCCCCTGCTTTCAGCTCTTCGCCCTCAGCAGCCCCTGCCCTCAGCTCCTCGCCCTCAGCATCCTTACCTTCAGCTCTTTGCCATCAGCAGCCCCTCGCCCTCAGGTCCTGGCCCTCAGCTCCTCATCCTCCATAGCCCTTGCCCTCAGCAGCTCCTGCCCTCAGCATCCCTGCCTTCAGCCCCTGGCCCTCAGCAGCCCTTCATTCTCAGCTCCTCACCCTCAGCAGCCCTTCACCCACAGCTCCTCACCCTCAGCCCTCAGCAGCCCCTGCCCTCAGGAACTCTGCCCTCAGAAGCCCTTCACCCTCAGCTCCTCACCCTCAACAACCCCTGCCCTCAGCTCCTCATCCTCCACAGCCCCTCACCCTCAGCAGCCCTTCACCCTCAGCTCCTCACCCTCAGCAGCCCCTGCCCTCAGGAACTCTGCCCTCAGCATCTCTCCCCCCACGCTCAGCTCAGCTCCCCTCACCCTCACCTCACCTCACCCTCACTCTCCCCTCGCCCTCACCACGCCCTACTCTTCCCTTCCTCCTCGATTTGCCTCCTTAAACCTCGAGGAGCACAGCCCTGCCGTGCTTGGGGGGTTTGTGGGCTCCTTGCTGAGGGGCACCTCTGTTCCCTGCACTGCCCAGAGCCAACCCCTTCCTCGGGACATACATTTTCCACAGCCCGGGGTGTGGATGCCTTTCATTTCCCAGACTTGTGCAGGAGTCAGGCTCAGGGTGCTGAGGGTTCTCTTTCTCCTGCACTCATTTAAATGACAGAATAAAACAACCCAAGCCCGGGGGTGTTTGAAATGTGGGGAGCCTTTTCTTAAAGCCCTTTGAAAATCCCAGCGGGCTGGGTGCCACTTAGCACTGAGGAGCATTTCCTTTGGAAGCTCGTATTTCATAGGAATACAGATATAAATATTCTAATTACTGCGTCCTGCAGCCTCGGGGGAGGCCTGTGCTGCTGGGGGAATCAAGGATCTGATGCTGGGGGTTGTCAGACAGACTGTCCTGCTCTGTTTGCTGACAGTTCCAGGTTGGTTTGAGCTGGTGAGTTGTGCAGGAGACCCAGGGAACTCCCTGTGGAAGCTGCATCCAGGTGTTAATGCAGGTGTTTAATTCACAGGCAGAAGAGTCTCTGCAAAATGGCAACTGCTCAGAAGCAAAGGAATTGCACGGTACGGTTGTGTTGTGGTTTTTTGGGCACAGTCTGTTCTTTCATGGGAAAAATGGGGGGAATTTTGGCTGAAATGGTGCACCCAGGAGATAGTTCTTCACTTGAAAATTTCGGGCTAATTGGGTTCTTTTAACTAAGAATAAAGATGCTTAATAGAAAAATAATCTGAGTTTTGTTGGTAAAAACCAGCTGTGTCCTAAGAACTCGATGACACCAAGCATCAGGAATATACTTTATAAGCCACGAAAGTCAGACTTCTCAGCTGAGTTAAAATTAATGCATTGGACAGGTTTGGTGCTGTGGATACAGCTCAACTGATTGATTGATTTCTTCCTCTGATTTTCCAGAGTGCAGTTGTATTCCCTAAAAAAATCGCCACGGAGCAGCAGTCCCTGATGCTGGTGAAGAGGCTCCTGGCAGTGGCCGTGTCCTGCATCACGTACCTGAGAGGGATCTTCCCTGAGAGTGCCTATGGAACCAGATACATGGATGGTAACAGGCTGTTTCTGGGAGAACTCGCAAATTCCATGTGTTTTTAGAGCCATTTTAAAACCATTTCAGTGCCTGCAATGGAAACTTCACTAATTCATTAAACTGAATTTTGTTGGTGCCGGTGCTCTAACAATTAAAACTGTGCTCATGCTCACCAGTAATGTTAATTTTAGCCTCATTTTGATGTGTGTTTTTAAGGAGTGAACATGACTTTTTAAATTGCATTTTGCCCTAAGTAAATGTGCTTTTTTTTATTATTTTTTTTTTTTGAGATGTCTGTGTCAAAATCCTGAGGGAAGACAAGAACTGCCCTGGCTCCAGCCAGCTGGTGAAATGGTACGTTTGGGCTCCCCCTTTGCCTCTTGCTTGGCTGTTCCAGAAAAGGCAAATGGCAAAGGGCAACAATTGAACTCCTCTGTGCTCCAGAGAGGTTTGGCTGAGCTCCTGGTTTCTGATGGAATCACGGAATGCTTCGGGTTGGAAGGGACCTTCAAGCTCATCCCATTCCCACCCCTGGGAAGGGACACCTTCCACTGAGCCGAGTTGCTCACCTGATTAATGAACACATGTTAGAAGCTGTTTGAAGTACTGCAACATGTTTTCACTGATAAATTAATCACTGACAGATTAGATTTTTAGTTATTCTCCCAAGGGAAGATTTGGTTGGGAAGATTTGACCCTACAAAGGTGGTCCTTGCTGGTACCCCTGCTAACAAAGAAGGCAGAATAACGCCTTAAATGCCATTTTTTGCCCTAACACAAGAAGGAAACAGAAGAATTGCACTTTTTGCTGCTGTTTCAGCCAGAAGCAAATGGAAATGAGTGACTTGTTTGCTGTGTTGCAGGATGCTGGGGTGCTACGATGCCTTGCAGAAGAAATACGTGAGTCTTGCAGTCTCCTTTCAAGGGTGGGGAAGGTTGAGTTAAGCCCATCAGTTGCCAGGGCTCTGGGCAGTGTGGGAGGCACAGGAATTCCAGGATAAAATTCCTGGGAAACAGAAGGTCAGGGATTTGTGGGTGTTTGGGGTCCCCTCTTAAACAGAAGAGGAGGAAGTTTTTCTGTGAGGAGAA